TATAATAATTTCATCCTCCTCTGGATCTGGAATGACCTTTCCTCTCTTTCTTTTTGAGGCTCCAAATTCATCCTGAAGTTTGATTTGTTTCTTTTTTCGTGCTAGTCTCCCAGCTCCAGTCTTAGATCTCTTCCACATCTTACTCTGCTGGTTAATTTCATGGTAACTTCTGCCTGTGCTGTCGGTTCAGCAAGTTCTTGTACCTCCATAATGGTGTTCTCCTCTTCAGGCACTATAACCAGGGCCCTCTTATCTAGAGGAGAAACTTTGAGTGGAAAGGTAAGTTGATTGCGCTCTGGAGTATTTCCTCCCATGGGCTCTCCTTCTGCTCTAGATGATGAAGAATCTACCCTCACAAGACTCCTAGCTAGGATACCTGGAATCCCAGACGAGTAGTTCAGATTACCTCTGTCTGATGAAGCATTGTGTGATGGGGAATGTTCTAAGTCCTCATTAACAGGTGGCACCATTTTCATTTTAAAAACAAAAATAGCAAGTTTGTTAGAGAGATAAATTTGGTTAGATAAACGATTAATTAGTTAAAATATTATATTAATTATATTTTAAAAATCGGTTAGATAATGTGAATAAAAAGATATAAAATTAATTAGTTTGTTAGGAATGCGATTATATGAAAGTCAAGATAAAATAAAATTTACCCAAAAAGTCTGTTTAGGATATTTTTCTCTAAATGTTTGAATTTAAAAATCAAAGAAATGAATTTAGATAAAATCATATAAAGAAAAATAAATAATAAATGTTTATTAATATATTAAAATGTGTAATTTTGAAACTCATATAAAGTAAAAGGCATGATAATGCAAATTTATTTTAAAAAGTTTCTACAATAATTAATATTTTGGTATTTATATACATAAGACTAATTGCATGATTATATAAATAAAATATTATATTAATTATATCTTAAAATACCGATTAGATAACTTGGATAAAAAATATTATATTAATTGATTGTTAGGAATGTGACTATATAGAAGTTAAGATAAAATGAAATGTACCAAAAAAAATCTACTTGTAGTCTTTTCTTTAAATATTTGAATTTCATTTTCTTAAAAAAAAAATCAAAATTTTGAATAAGAATCATGGGCGGGGGAAACCAAATAATTTCAAAAAATATTTTCATTATTAGTAACAATTGAAATTATGGGCGGAAATTTACATGCCTATTTTCGAACTTTTTTTTATTGCTATTATATAGTATTATTTATCATTGAAGTCCCCTCTACAAATCACATACTACCCTAGGAAAGACTATGTCTTAAAATGACATTCCATTAGTACTTGCATATATAAACACAATCCATGGACTTTTTTTTACTATCCTTCCAACAAAAATTCACTTCAATGTAAAAGTCCAAGCAGATATTGTTCTGAATAGAAATGTTCACTGACCAATAAAGAACCATGCCTCCCCTAGT